GAGTGTGGAGGTACATCGGTAGAGGTAGACCTAGAAAGAGATGGATGGATTGCGTGAAAGTTGACATGATCAAAAAGGGAGTGATGACTGAGATGACGTATGATAGAGTTATTTGGAGGACAAATTAATAATACATTGATAAGTTTAATACTTAAATTAAAATACAACTAGCTTTCCAATAGATGGTATCAAATTTAAATTTAAATCTACTGTTTTTCCCTCCACAAATTATACTCTAATTACCGTACAATATGTTTGTTATCAATTACGTAAATTTACAAACGTATTACAAGAGAAGCGGCAAACGAGCAACGGTAACGTCGAGATGTTTTTATTTTGGGTCAACCAGGCTATGGATAATTAGTGCTACCCGAGAAAAGTCTGGGCGGTTCACTAGTATAACATAAATAGGAGGTTCATATTCTATTGAAAATGACGTCCTTGATGCTTCTTGCCGATTAAACGTGCTGGTGTATTGGCTTTCGTCCAGACCATTGTTAATGACTTACCATATTCTACTAATGTTGAATTATTTCAAACATCATCTTCCAACAATCATTATTATGAAAACATAACTATTAATTTTTACAATAGTTTGAAAAATAATAAATTTTCGGACACCTAAGTCACATTTGTATTGCGTCATTGAGATAATATGTGTGTTTTCCAACAACATCAATTCTCTTGGTCTCATCAGAACCTTTCATATTATTTGCATGAATTGGTAACTTAGTATAAAATGTAAAAGAGCTTTGTCAAAAGAAACATTTTAATTATTGTTTTACTAGTATGATTACTTGGTAACGGATGTCCGTTACAATCAATCGAGACTTTTTTCACTACTAATTTATACATGTTTCGGCGTAACCTAGGTTTATCATTTTGAGTTAACAAGTTTGATAAGCTCTTGGTGGCGTAAACATATTTACTTGCTATAGTTTTCGTAAATAGGTATTTGGATCAATCATTTAATAATTTTATGCTTTGTTCGTAGACTGAAGTCTTCGAATACATCAATAAATTACAAACCACCATTGTTTATTTCTATTCATTATTAAATGAAACTATATTTGAGACGAGTTACTATTATTTAACTTTTACAAACTTGGCCCAAATTCTTACTTGTAAGCTATCATCATTGACCCAGTGACCCAGTGCACTTGGCTCAATTGCCCCAATAGGGAGCCATCCCCTTCGCCGCCTGCACGCAACCCCCTAACCGCGACCCTGCCACCCTTTTATCCTTCAGTGTTAGCTCATATTATCTTAATCGATTTATACCTCTTTAAAGTTTAATGTTAAAATATTCATGAAAGGTTAAACCTGTAATGCCCTGAAAAAAGTGTTCTTAACACAGAAAACTGGTTGCCATGGTATAAAATTCTAAATTACTTTACGTAATAACTTGGCGTTACTTTAACTTTTTTTATTTAAAATGACGTTGTATTTTTAAATAACATTTTTTTTTATAAGACAACTTACCGGGTTATCAATTTACTGAGATTTTAGGCAGAATTCAAATAGGCCCTAGTTCCGGCGGCTGCTCTGGTCTTGGGGAAGGTACCGCAACATTAGGAAATGGACGGTTAAAAAACTGTCTACCTTATCTTTCCGGTCGGTACTTTCTATATCGGAATATCTGGACCCGATACGTTAGTGTTGGAGATAAAGAAAAAAAAAATTCTGCCAACTAAGTTTACTCTTTTAATTTTATCTGCACCAGTATACCCTACCAATGTAATTAAAACCATTTTTATGGAAGGGTGTTTATCTGTTTTGTAAATCTTGAAAAAAGGTTCATGCTTTATGAAAATGTTCATGATAGTCTTGTCTGTGGGTTGGTACGATACAATTGTCCGAATATTTACTTTGTCATTCATGCTGGACACTAAAGACCTGTCGCCTGTGTTTAGGTCAAAGCCCCACGCATATTGTAATCCATGCTCCCGCGCTTCGGCGAGGGAACCCCTTTACAGTCGAGTTGAAGTTGTCTTATGAATAATTAATATAAAAGCCCGCATAAATGTTTTCCAAGTGCCGTATATTGAACTGTGGCTGATAACAGAATCAGCCTGTGTTAGTTACATTGGCTCACGTCACCGCGCTCGGCGAAAGTGTGACGTAAGATTGCGCATGCGAAGAAAGTATAGCTGCGCGCGCGCCGACGACCACTTTTGCTTTCGTCCGGGGCCGCGTCGTCTGCTAGATAGTGAAAATGGCACACTTTGTATACGACGCAACC